CTCAAGCAGAATATTGGAGAGGCTGGCGAAGGAAAGAGCTGTGATGCCAGAGACGAGGAGGGAAATATCACTGCACCTGAGCAGAGCAGGGCTTCTGAGAAGGGAGGGGCAGCTCGGAAGCCAGCCAGAACTGTGCTCCAGGCGGAGCACACTAGAAGGAACACGCTCTAGCCCTTGTCTCTATGGTTTTTAAGTACTAGAGTGGCAATTTCCGGTCGCCATTTTTTTCCCGGGCCCAAATTTTTAAAAAGCAGGTAAGGGGCTTGTAAATTGGGGGTTCCCCCTCCCCCAGCGGGGGCTTGGCAAGCCTAGTTCACAAGTATCCCATGACCAATGTTATACACACAAACACAAAAATTATTATTTGATATAGCTGTAAGTTGTATGCAAATGTAAGATGACCGCTGCTTTTTTAATTGCATACCTGTGAAAAAACCTAGCCTTGCATTTAAGTAAGTACTGTATCATTCTTGAAAGCTGTCGCTTCTCTTACATAAAAATCTTCACACTACGTATGTTGAGTGAGTAAAACTTCTATTTAGAAGAACATAATCTTTAAAAGAACATTATCTTTTAAAGAACATATGTCATTGGAGGCTTTTTTCCCTGAAATGCTTTGCCCAAGAAACAGATTTCCCCCCAGAATGTTTCTGGGGTTTTTTGCCAGTTCATCACATCTTTCTTTGTAAATCCCTTTTTGATTGATAGAATTTTTTTCTCTTTCTTCAAGAGACCCTAATATAATCTCACGAGTACCTTTCATAGCACTTAATTTATTCTTGAAACATACTGTTCAAGCATTCTTAAACTGTTCCATGTGAAATCATGTGCCTTCTACTGTACTCTAATCATATTTATTCTAAATACTTCATCTCAAGTGGTTCATGTGATTTTCTTGACTTTGTTTCTGTTTTTGTTTCTTTTCTGATGGGACATGATGCCCCAGAAAGAAAGGTCATTTCTGTGCAACATTATGAAACACACCTTTAAGGAAGGGGAGAGGGACTTAAGGTTAAGATTAGCAAGGAGTTTTATTTTTATAAAACAAACTCATCTCCTGTACTTCTGGAAACAATATGTTAACAATGTGACTTAACTTTCCCAAAATGGAGGGTGGCACCTAGACGTTTTGCAGATACTGTGGACCACCAAAAAGACAAAAAAGTTGGCTCTAGATCAAATCAAGCCTGAACTCTTCTTAGGAGCTAAAATAACTAAACTGAGGGTATTGTATGTTTAGTACATTATGAGAAGATAGGAGTAATTAGAAAAGGCAATAATGCTAGGATAAGGTGAAAGTAGCAGGAAAAGAGGAAGACCCAACATGAGATGGATTGATTCGATCAAGTAAGTCATATAGCCCTCTGTTTGTAAGACCTGAGCAAGGCCGTTAAAGACAGGACATTTTGGAGGTCATTAATTCGTAGGGCTGCCGTAAGTTGGAAGGAACCTGACAGTACCTAACACGCACACACATAATGCTTCGCTGTCTCCTGCTTTTCCACAAGTGCCGCATTCATGCTGCTTCCTGCTATCCATTTCATTCTTGCCCAAGTGTTGTGCATTAAGTTAAATGGAAGGAGAGCAACTTGACCACTAAGCTTCATGGCCAATAAAGGAGTTTAAGTGAAATCTCCCAGGTGCATATACAATACAGTGTCAACCACATCAGGGGTCGCCAGCCCTCAGGAGAGGCAGTGTACACACAGGCATTCCCCCCCCCCCACTTTGTTCGTACGTTGATCTTTCCCCTCTGGTCTGCTGAGTGTGGGAAGAGACAGCTGCACAGCACAGGAGAGGCAGACGAAGGCTTTGTGCCACTGCCAGGCCTGCAGGGTTCCTGCTCGCATCCATTAACTTCTGCTGTCTGTTCCGCATCTGGCACTCAAGCCACAACTCCTGAAAGTACATCCATTTTAATTTGTCTTCTAACTCAGGTTTCCAATATGGTCTGTTTAGGAAGGCAGTTTATATTAGAGTTGACCAACCAATTCTGTTCTGGTGGCCTGCTCATCCTATCAGTACCAGTTGTGGATATTTCAGCGTCCCCATGCAATTCCTGACAACTGTTATGAGAATAAAGCAAGCCAAGTTTTTTGTGTGTGCCTCATTTAGCCCCAGAGCCCTTCTCCCAAGCACATGTCAGTG